ATGATCTTGAAGGGACGGCGTCTACAGACAGATTGAGGCCAAGGCAAAGAGCTGCTCCTTTTGGGGCCAGCAAAAAGGTGACTTTTTCCGCCCTACCCAGCCCATGGGTGGCTTCAAGCCTCTCTGGCAGCGTACAACATATAAACGCTGCACCGCCGGAGTGCCCAAAAAGCCAGCCAGCACAATTTCCAGGTGTCTTGGGGACATGCAGCATCTGTATGCCACACCCCCAAGCCGCCTGGAAGCCGGGTTTTCATGTCCTAAGGGGGGGGCCTTAGTCTCAAAGGTGCTACAAGATCTCTTTGCATTTTCCAGATTAACACTGCTGTGTCTTTGAATTCTACATCTCCAGAATGTCTGCAGTGGTAAAAGCCCATCTAGAGCCAAACTGCAACAGCCCACACACAGCAGTATTAGTGTTTAGAATGGAAAGACCTTGTATTCCGTTCTCTGATACTACCTAGTCTCCCATAAGCTGTTGTCAATCCTCTGTAAGAAGGGCTGTTATGTCTCATAAAAGATCAAGTGAGGAATAAAGAGCCAACACTAAATCTGCAGCAGTATTTCACCCTTGCTTGCTAGCCAACAGTGGATAGTCAGATGGAAAAAGCCATATGCATTAATGGACACTGCTTCTGTTCCTGATCTATTCATTCTGCACATGAAATGGAAATGAAAAGCAATGTTCTCCTCAAAATTCTTGAGTTCTAGTGGAAAAGCTGCTGCCACACTTCCCAAACTCCAGTGAAGAAAAAATGTTTTGTTTTTATTTCAAGCTGCATACTGCATCAGGGAAAAAAGAGTGACAGGTTTGTGGGCACACTGAGAAGCCTGGGGGTATGGAAGCAACTGCAATGTTGCCAACCCTAGATATATGTGCTTGAAAAATGAGGTGTCGTCATACAGACTTTCCAGATGGTTCCCATGTTGTTCAATTTTTACTGTTTATGTTCTTTACCCTTTACCCTTTAAAAAGTCTCATCCTCCTAAAAAAGTTTTAGTCCTCAAAGGGCACAATGCTTTTCCTTAGCCCTTCTCAGGACACAGCAAAGAGGAAACAGATGGCAGACACTGAGTTTAGTGGCCCAGGATGAACATACCCTTTAGTCACAGCTATCTAAGTCATAGTGGTTTGAGTGTTGGACTGTGTGTGACTCTGAAGACTAGGGTTCAGATCCCCACTTAGCCATGGAAACCTAATGGGTAATGTTGGGCAAGTCACACACTCTCAGCCTCAGAAAATCCCATGATAGGGTCACCACCGTAAGTCAGAAACAACTTGAAGGCACATAACAAAAACAACAACAATCACCTATGGTGAATGGTTCCTAGCAAACAAACATATGATTAGAAAGTGAATGGTAATTTTAAATTTACAACCCCACATTTGAGAAGTAAACCAAGTAGTTAAAAGTAAAAGTTGCCTGAGGTAGTTGCAATTTTACAATTTAGTTGAAGCTAATCACCCTAATATCACAAACATACAAAGGGCCTTTGCAGACTGCCAGAAATAGTGCACATTAAATTGAGGCATTGCCGTGGCTCAGTGCTAGGGAATCATGGGAACTGTAATTTATTGTGGCACCAGAGCTCTCTGACAGAGAAGGCTCAATGTCTCAGAAAAAAATATAATTCCCATGACTCCCTAGTACTGAGCTAGGGCAGTGCCTCAATTTAATGTGCACTATTTCTGGCAGTCTGCAAAGGCCCAAAGAGACTTAAGATGGAGCACAACTATATTTGTCAAGTTGGAATTTAATCTCTTATAGAATATGCCATGAAATCAGTGCACATGTCCCTAAAAATAAATCCAAATTCCCCCTCTTTTACCCTCTGGAAATATATCTGAAGGGCCAAGCAGATATACACCCTAATTTGCAGTTCTGCCTACATTCCAGGCTGACTCACAGCAATCACATGGATGGCTAGGTTATCCAAGGGCTACTGATTACTTCATACTGATTAGCCAGTATGAATTCCCCTTCTGGGAAGAGCTTACCAGCCCCCACAGAAATATACGGTAGTTTTTTGCAAACTATATAGAAAAAAGGCAAGGCTGGTTTAGAACTCTTGTCAGGTGAGCTGGTGGTCTCCCTGCACTGAAAACTGCATACATTATTCCTAGGGTCCTGATATGTTTGTTTGCTTTAATATTTTATCTTATTTCATTTCATTTCAAAAGCAGCTGATTATGATTAAAGGTCTCTCTGCTTGGCTCTTCAATAATTATATGGAATTGGGAATTGGAACTGATTTGACTTTTTGATCTGATCTAAGAATTGGCTTCATCCACATGCTGGCAACTCTAGCCTGATGGGTAAAGAGCTAATAAGTTGTTCTGAAAAGGATTCTGACCACCCCAACAAGCAGAATCCTATATACCCATGACAACACGGGTTTGTCAAAAACAAATCCTACCAAATTAATATCTTTTTTAAAAAATCAGGTCACTAGTTTAGTGGATAGTGGAAATGCTGTGGATGTCATTTATCTGGATTTCTGCAACACATTTGATAAGGTCTGCCATAATTTTTGACTAGCAAACTGATTAAATATGGACTAGTTGGCAACACTGTCAGATTTTATTTGTTTGCTTGTGTCATTTTTATGTCACCTTTTTCCCAGAAATGGACCCAAGGCGGCTGACAAGATAAAAACATTTTTAAATCTTTACGATAAGAATTTTAAAACAGTTAAAGTCATCTAATTAAAACAGTATAAAATTAAAATAAAAACATACAAAAAGTTAAAACATAACTGAAACACACATCCCATAATGTAGCCATAAAATATCCACAAATAATACATCAATAAATAATATATCCATAAATAAATTTATTATGTATGGAGCTGTTATTGTTATTGTTATTGTTATTATTATTATTACCTCGCCCCTCTGTCGAGCAATTGGGGCAGCTTACAAGAATTAAAATCCATACAAATCTAAAAATAAACATCCCCCACCCCCACCCCCATTAAAACAGTATTAAACTACAGTTCCAATTAAAACCTTAACATAACATATCAAAAATACAACAACACAACAATACAATAAAAATTAAAAAACAACAATAGCGCACCAAAAACAAACAGTGGGAGAGCCAAAACTAGGATGATAAAAACAGGCAGATTCCTGGGGCCAGGAATCTAGTCAGGAAAGGCCTGCTGGAATAGATCCGTCTTCACAACCTTTTTAAAGCTGCTTAAGCTGATAATATGATGGATCTCGTCCGGCAGGCCATTCCATAATCTGGGGCTGATTACCAAGAATGCCCTCTGGGAAGTTGCCGACAGCCTAGATTTCATTGGCTGGAGCAAATTCTTTCCAGATGGAGCCATAAAAAAGTATGGATACTAAAGAGAGATCCATAATTGGTTGGAAAAACGTTCAGAGAGTCATCATTGATGGCTGCACTTCAGACTAGAAGGTGATATCAAATGGAGTGCTTCAGGGTTCTGTCCTAGGGCCATTATATTTTTATTAGTGATTTAGATGACAGGTGGAGGGAATCCTTACTAAGTTTGAAGAAGACACAAAAGTGGGAAGGGGTGGCTAACCTATTGGAAGATAGGAACAGAATTCAAAGTAGGAACAGAATTCAAACTAGAAAATTGGGCAGTAATTAATAAAATGAGAATCAATAGAGATAAATGCAAAATTCTACATTTAGGGCACAAAAACCAAATGCACAGGTATAGCATGAGGTATACATGGCTCAGCAATATTACATATGAAATGAACCTTGACATTATTATTGATTATAAATTGAATATGACTCAGCAATGTGATGCTGCTGCAAAGAAAGTGAATGTTATTTTACCCTGTGTTAATAGAACCACAGTTTCCAAATCGAGGGAATTAATAGTCCCACTATATTCTCAGCTGGTCAGGCCTCATCAGAATTCTGCATGCCTGATTTTAAAAAAAGATATAGTCAAGTTGGAGCAGGTTTAGAGAAAGGCAAGAAAGATGATAAGAGGTATGGAGAAAAAAGCAAATAAGGAAAAGTTGAAAGAGTTGGGCATATTCAGAGCTTGGTGAAGAGAAGACTGAGGGGGAAACATGATTGTACTCTTTAAATATTTCAAGGACTTTTACAAAGATGAGATGGCAGACTTGTTCTATCTGCCACAGAATGTAGGACCAGGTCTAATGGTTTGAAGTTACAGGAGAGAAGATTTCAACTGAACATTAGAAGAAGGAGCCCTGGTGTTTATTAATGTTTTGATGTTGTGAACCACTTTGGGTCCCTTTTTGGGAGGAAGGCAGGATAAAAATAAATAAATAAATAGCTAAATACAGAGGATGCTTTAGAGACCTAATGCTTGCACTGAGCAGAGAGTTGGACTCAATGGCCCATGGGGGCCCTTCCAACTCAGTGATTCTATAAGAATTATTTAAAATGTGAACAGTGGTGGCACTATCTCTGAGGAACAGACAAAGGGGTGTTTTCCAACTTCTCCAACTTCACAGGGATTGAAATGTAGATATACCAGTTGGTCACAACATCTATCAAAAAATTCCCCTTCACAGCAAGGATACTATTATTAGTGAGTACATAAAATATTTTAAGGTTTTTGGAAGCTTTCTTTATGGATTTCCTTCTCAGTTTGTACTTCCTGATACTTTATAATGTTAACAACCTCCTCCAAGAAGGTCTCATCCCAGATGAATTCCTTAATAACCTAATCACCAGCCATGGAATATTTCCAGAAATATTTTAGTTATCCTGTGCCTTACCATCTAACCACAGTTAAGAGTCACTGAATTCATTGTTTAGTTGTGGTCAGAAACATTTATAGATTTTGATTCTGTCTGTCTGTCTGTTTTTCTCAGAGCACTGAATGAGATATTACAAGCCCATTTGTTGTTGTTGTTGGTGGTGGTGTGTGCTTTCAAGTCATTTCTGATTTATGGTGACCTTAAGGTGAACCTATTACTGGATTTTCTGGGGCTGAGTGTGTGTAAAACTCACCCAAGGTCACTCAGTGGGTTTCCATGGCCAAGTGTGGAATTGAACCTTGGTCTCTAGAGTCATAGTCCAGTGCTCAAACCACTACGTCACTCAGGCTCTCATTACAGGCTCATGCAAGTTGCTGCAAGTGCCACACAGAAGCAGGGGTTTTTTTTTAATTACAGGCCCATGCAGATTGCAATTAAAACATGCTTCAGTGTGACACTGTTCAGCACACTGGGAATTAATAGCTGAAAGTGACTCAAACCTAAATTAAGATCAATATATCTTCATTTAGTGAATAGTGCTGAAGATCCTTTATATATGGGAAAGAATCACACGGATTACCAGGAGTAACTGGTTAGAGATGGGCCAACATCTACCAGAAGGTGATTTCAATCATAGAGTTATATCATCTGAAAGTGTTTCTTGATAGCTTCCATGAAGGCTTCCAAGCAATATAACATTTATTACATTAAAACACTGTCTTTTTGCCAACAAATGGCTGTCCAGTTAGCTAATTGTGGCAAACCCAAGAAATAAAAAAATACAATTAAAACAGAAAGCTTAAAAACACAATTACAAATGGATGAATACAAAGAAAGTACCACCACCTATTCAGTAAAAACTTCCCTCAGCAAGAACTCAGCAAAGATGCCAAAGGCCTGCCTGAATAGCTAGGGCTTAAAATTTCAAGTCATTCAGTACTAGCAACCATTGCATGGCTGGGCTGTAATATATTTGTGATGTTTTTGCTCCTTAATCAAAATCCCACTTTTTCTTAAAGTTTGCTTCATTTCCTTGGGTTAAAAAGATCATGATACTGGGAAAAAACTAATGGAACATCTTTTACAAAGAAGAAAAATATAGTCGCCCCTCTGTTTTCACAGGGGATCCATTCTGGACACAAACACCCCGTGAAAATGGAAAATTGCAGATATTCAAGACCCATTGGCTGGAATGGCCGCACACCATTTTAACCAATGGGGCTTGCCTGTCTGTGAAGGACCAAGACTGCGAACTCGAAATCCGCAAAAACAGAGGGGCAACTGCATGTGGTAACACTAACATTTACTCAACTAATATTTGCAAGTACTCAAGCTCTCCTAAGTTGCTAACTGCCAAGATGAAACAAAAAGAAACAAAAAATAATGAATCAGGAATTACTGAAAGGATGGCAGGATCTAAAAAACTACAAAAATATTGAAAAGGACTGAATGCTGGGATACACTTGTCAATTTCAATTTCAATTGGATGCCTAGTTTCAACTAGTAAGATAAAAACTTGCGCTGGAAGCATAGCAAAGTAGTCAAGCTAAAGGAAATATAGGGATGGAAATTATTTAGAATGGATATCAGAGGATAAGGGACCCTAAATACCCTGAAAGCACCAGAACCCATATGATCTTGGAAGCTAAGCAGGGTCAGCTCTGGTTAGTTCTCAGATGAATACCAGGTGCTGTAGGCTATATTTCAGAGGAAGGCAAACTATCTTTGAGCATTCCTTGCCTAAGAAAACTCTATGAAATTCATGAGGTTGCCATAAGTTAACAGATGACTTGAAGATATGTATACACATCCTGGAGGACAAGTGCACTGGTGATGGATGTTTTTGGATGTCATGGTTAAAGTGCTAGGATGGGGGCCCTAGGTCCAAATCCCAACTCAGTCAAAAGACCACTGGATGACCTTAGGCCAGTTACTGGACCAAAGGCAGGCAAAGTATGTGCTCCTCAAGACAGTTTTTGCAGCCCTTGATCCTATAAGATTCCTTGGATTGCCTTTTTTCTGCCCCACCCCCAAGCCTGAATTGTCTCCCCTGAAACATCAAGGAGGGATAATTCACCCTTTAAATAGGCTGTAGGCCTTTTCCTACACTGTCTCACTTCTGGATTTTTTGGGGGGGGCGGGGAAGCATGTGCGGATTGGAGTAGATTGGTCCCCAGACCTGCCACAGTTTCCCATCTGTCTTAACTTGACCTTTTCATAGGGCTGTTGTGAAGAATGAAAAAAAGGATGAGGCACTATACAACCTGCCTTGAGTTTAATTAACATGTGTTTCAGTTTTTATTCAAAAGAAGGATGTGTTGAGAAAATAAAATTCTGCAGAGGCACTTACAAAAATATGGTTAATAAAAACTGAAGCCTGCAGGAGTAAGGTCCCTGTGGTCCCTGAGATGACATTAGAGTCCAACTGACATCACCTTCAGCCAGCATGGCCAACAATAATGAATTATTGATGCTGTAGCCATCTATAAGTACTTGGACTACAAATACACTCCCCTGTTATACATACTTATAGATTTGCACTGTGAAAAAGCTTTGTGGTTTTGACACAAATGCTTTTGATATCAGCTAACTTTACCTATATCTCTCAACTTTCAAGCCCCAAACTGCACATGTACTTCCATTTAATTCTGTGTTGTCCCTACATACTCTAAAGGCACTGGATCCAATCTGATCCTGGAAGCTAAATATGGTCAGCCCAGGCTAGTACTTGGATAGATGATCAGCAAATAGCATGTGCTTCTTTCAGAGGAAGGAACTGGTAAAACCACCTCTTATTCCTTGCCAAAGAAAGCCCTATGAAATTAGTTAGGTTGCCATAAGTCAACAAGTGACTTCAGGGTGCAGACACACATTTTTAAAGTGTGAACAGGACTACAGCCTCACAACAGAATACACAATGCCGACAATGCTGTGAATCAGAATCCAACTGAATATTCTCTTCCTATTCAAGATCTGCCTGGCCAAATATATCTGAGAGAAACTAGAGGGTCTCAAGTAAAAAAAAAATCCTCTCAGGAAAGATCATATACCTACCTAAAAGCATCTACAAAAGTAGCAAAACCACAAACAAATTAGTCATGCCTTTGAAGGCAGAGTTAAAGCCAGAGAAAGAAGCTTTTCCTAAACAGCTTCTTTTCTAAATAGACAAACAGAAGAGCATATTCACATAAAGCAGGTTAAGTTGTAAGCAGCCAACAATAGCTGCAATGAAACCTATTGGCCTATGCTGGGAAAATAACCTTTGCCTAAACATGGCATGGCCGTGTTTCTTCATGCCTGTCTCACTGACATGTAAAGCAGAGGTGGCTGATTTGCTTTTGACATTACAAAAGTCACAGAGGTTAAAGACACTGAAGTTTCCTCCCACCTTGCTTATCTACTGTTGCTTCAAGCACTTTTATCCAAAAAGGAGACAGGAGTAAACTAGGGCAAAAAGGAAAGAGTATGAATCAACAGGCAGTGAGAAAGGCAGGAATAGATTCAGCTCTCATTCATGTGCAGTATATGATTGAATTCTCTAACCTTCACACATGTATATGAACACAAACATACTTTAATTGACCAGGCAGACACATGTTTAAATTGGCTCTCTTTCTATAAACCCCCACTTTAAAGGTTGGAGGGCATTCTAGCAAAAAAAATGGCTGCAGGGAAAGGTAAGATGTCATGTTTCCCACGCCACCACTTAAATTCTAACATTCCTACAGTTTATTTGGCTTTTTTAACATGGAGGTAAGGGATAATTTAAACAACTGAGACTATTGTCTAGTCTAGACAATCACAACAGTCAGAAATAGGCATTGTCTTGCCAGTGGCCACAGGTCTCCACAGCCATTGGGCCAAGTTTGATAAGTAAAAAGCCAATTCTTTAAAATAATAATAATAATAATAATAATAATAATAATAATAATAATAATAATAATAATTTTTATTTATAGCCTGCCTCTCCCTGCAGATTGAGGTGGGTTACAGCAATTAGGAATAAAAATAAAATACAATATACAATTAAAACCAGATTTCTGAATAACCCTTACACCACCCCTCTCCCAATCATAAAAAAGAAAAGGAAGCAAAAGTAAAAACAACAACAATATAAAATGAATAGCAATATAAAATACTAATTAAAAGCAGAAGAAATAACAAATTAGCTAAAATTATAGTTAGAGATGAGACATCTATTTTTGGGGGGGTAGACGGGGAATATCCATATCAATGGAGCGGAGGCTAGTCTGGAAAGGCCTGCTGGAAGAGATCCATCTTAACAGCCTTTTTAAAGGCTTCTAGAGTGGTAATATGACGGATCTCCTCTGGTCGGCCATTTCATAACCCAGGAGCGGCAAATGAAAAGGCCCTCTGGGTTACTGCAACCAATCTGGTCTTCTTAGGCTGCAGTAAATTCTCCCCAGAGGACCTAAGTGTGCGAGGTAGATTTTATATATATGGAGGAAGGCGCTCCCACAAGTTGTCTGGACTTAGGTCATGTAGAGCCTTAAAGGTTATAACCAACACCTTGTACTGTGCCCGGAAACTAATTGGCAGCCAATGGAGAGATTTTAAAAGAGGTGTTATATGGTCAGCTCTAGAAATTCTTTATTTCTGTGTAAAGGAGAAGAAAGGCAAAGAGAAAAAGAGAGAGACTGGTGTCAAGGATTCATTGCCTTAGGAGCCCTTGTGGGCTGGGAGGTGATACAGAAGTATTTTAAATAAATAAATAAGGCTACAACTAAACCCCCCAACTAACTCCCCCCCAAAAAAGCCAAGTAATTCCTTCTCAAGCCAGGCTAGCCTCTTTTTTTTTTAACTAAATATATTTAATTTGAAAGGGGAACATTAGTTTGTCCGGCAGACATTACACAAAGAAAAAAGAAAAGAAAAAGGTAAATAAAGAATATGTTTGTTTTCAAGGGAGTTGGTTACTGCAGTTACAGACACAACAAGGATATTTACCATATATACATAAATCAACCTCATGTATAAGTCTAGAACAGGTTTTTGGGGCAAAATTATGGATATTGATATGACCCATGGATAAGTTGAGGGTAACATTTAAGGGCATGTATCAAAGGATGTAAAGGACAAAACAAAGGAAAATGGTGCCAAAGAACTTAGGAAATTATGGCAGCATAACTGTTTGTGCTCACCCTGAAGGCTGGGTGTCTGAGGAGAAAACTATTGTAAATTGTGGCTACATGCTGTGTGTGGGAGCAGCTAGTCACAAGCAGGGCTAATGTCAAAAAGGATAAAAAGGCAAAGCTAAGAAAATGGTGACTACATTAGCAGTTATTATAGCCTTTAATGTTAATATAATACCTTTGCCTGGTTTTAACC